GTCTGTGAGGAGAAGAGTTTGTAACATTGTGTAATATTTGTTTAATAGATTGTGTAATTCTGCTTTAGAGGTTCCCAGAGCAAATGCTGACTCAGCACAGCACCCAGCAGGTGATTCGATATGACGGGTGGTGTAATGATGGAGCTCCTCAGTGAAGCCGTCAGCAGGCTGAACAGGTAACTACAGCTCCGTCACAAACATGGTGAGAGCAGCACTGGTTCACACTCTGCATGTCAGGGTCAGAGCTTCATCAGCCACACATCTGAAGGTTTCTCCGTCATCACTGTGAGCCACGCTGGGAACAGCTTCCTGTGATTTAACAGGTAAATAAGGAAGCTGACAGTCCACAGCGTCCTCTTTGCTGACGATACCTGGATGTTCCCTCTGACCAGCAACTGCTCAGTAAATTCCTTGAACTGCAGTTTATGTGATGCCAACATCTCATCTTTGAGGTGTTATTGTGTAAATCTGAAGAACCTCACCTTCAGATTAGACTGACACATCTACTCTGGTCACAAAGCCTTTTAGCTAAGATCAGACTTTCTCTAATCGAGCTGCAGTTCGTTAAATGTCACTGACATCACCAGTGCTGCTGGACTCAGGGGCACCTGTGGACCTGCTCGTTTTACCAATAAGCTTCCTCAGCCGGTCGGTTCAGGTCTGGTTTTCATCTCCTCTGAATCGTAAGGCTTGCTCACAGAAACGTTAGTACTAAATAAAGTTTCAGAATGTAACAACGCACCCGTCAGTAGCTAGTGTCATTATCAATCAAGTTATTATTGATATATTGAACTAAATCAGCTGAGAGTATCTTTGCCATTAAGGCCCACAGCAGGTCATTAATGGTCATTAAACTCACCATTCTCATAGTAAAATCAGTGAAATGGATTTCAGATCACCTGTTAAACAAACACATTGAGAAGCTGGGACCAGAGTGAATCCTCTAATTCAGTCTTACACTCAGTAAACAGTAAAAACCAGAGCAGTGAGAGTGTGAAACTACGACCGACTCTTAAAGCCCAGCGTCCTAAAGTTGCAGGCTGCCTTGTTTCCGTGTTTGTGATTTCCTTACCGTTTCTTCATCAGCAGGATGACTCCCAGGAAGATAATGATGAACAGCAGGATGCCGGCGATGGAGCCAGCGATCTTCACCGTGTGGTCCGACTGTTTCTCCTGCTCCGGTTCTGGTTTCCTGGTCGCAGTGCCTGAAAACCGCGAAGCACAGTGTGGACCGTTAGCTACTGTGTGCTGATCCCAGCCAGCCTCAGTCCTCGCTGTGCTGCTGCAGACACCCATCATCGCCTCACACTGTAGCATCCACAGGAACCAGTGGTAGCCAGCACCTAACAAGATCTATGATACCATGTATGCATCATGTATCTGTGGCATAGTAAATATCACTGTTGAATAAACTTTCCATGATTAACTGTATTCAAATCAGTCATAACCAGCAACATGTTTACTGTGCCCACCTGCTCCAAAAATGACTCTGCTGCATTTAAATGACAGCGCTTCGCAAATCATAGCCTGCCTTACAGTTATCATTCGAAACAGCAGAACCAATCACAGCGGCCGTCTCGGAACAGTTCTCACTGGTTCTGTTCTGTGGTTCTGGTCCAGCTGCTGGTCTGAGAGAGGCTGTCTGCCCTCAGCCTGAAGGAGGGACAGATGATGTGTGAGGGAGTCCTCCTGCTCTGACTGTATAATGTGATGGGATGTCAGTCGCATGGAAAACCCATTAACCACTGTGTGTGTGTGTGTGTGTGTGTTCAGGTGTAATATCCTTCCAGGTGACTCAGTAGATGAGAAACATTCAGGACACCACGTCGCTGTCGAGCGCTGTAATGTGTCATTTCAGACATAGCCCACTTTTCCAATCACAGCTTGACAACAGCTATCACTCACCCTTTGAGTGTGTGTGTTTGTGTTTGTGTGTATGTGTGTGTATGTGTGGGGTGAGGGGTTTCAGCACGTCTGCTCTATGAAGACATTGAGTACAATTCAATTCAATTTTATTTAAACAGCACCAAATCAGAAGAACAGTCGCCTCACTAGGTTTAAATCTGGGACTCCCCACCATTTGACCTTAGAACTGAAGAAGCTTCTCGGATGAGAGGTGAAACGTCTTCAAGCAACTTAAAGAAGTCCAGGCGCTTTTCTTTGCTAGCTCCTTTGACTACATTAGCCATAGAAATTCCTGCAGGGCTCTGACGAGTGTTCGTGTTTTAAACTGAAGCTGTTGATCAGTCAATTACGTCGTCCTCAGCAGCACCGTCACACTGATTGACAGCTGTGTTTCTGATCCACAGCTCAGTGTGTTTTGACTTAAGGCAGAGTATTAGGTGGCCCTCCTGAAACTCATCTCCACACCTGAGTTACAGTGGTCGTTACGCCTCGGGACGCCACTTGCCCGATCATGACCATAAAAACTGCCAGAGGACAACGTGTGCGGAGCCTGAGGCTGATCCAGGTGAGCTGATATTCAGGAAGAGAGCATTTGAAACAATACCCTCTCTAAAAGATAAGAAAGGTGTTTTACAATTCGAGGCTAAACTTACCAGCAAAATAATGAAAGAGTTCTATCAGGACTTATATTCCCTTGAATGTCAAAATACTGTAGACGCAAGGAGATTGTTTCATGATAATCTTAATCTCTTTATACTATCAGAGGAAAGTCGATTAAATTTGTGCTGTCCCATTGGGGCACAGGAAAAAGCTGCAGGCCCTGATGGGTTTGGGCCAGAGTTTTACAAAAAAATGGCTAAACATATGGTGGGTCCTTCATTAAACATGTATGTAGAATCTCTTGAGAGGAGCACACTTCCACCCACCTTAAACCTTGCCCATATATCCCTGATCTTAAAGAAGGATAAACCTGCAAATCTGTGTACATCTTACAGACCTGTAAGTTTACTCGGTGTAGATTGCAAGATTCTGTCCAAAATTTTATCTAGATGACTGGAGGAGATCCTGCCAGTTCTTATAAAGCCTGACCAAACGGGTTTTGTCAAGAATAGATACTCCCGCTCCAAGGTACGCCGACTCATAACTGGTGAGGAACGCGTCAGGGATGTCCACTTTCTCCCCTACTGTTTGGACTTGCATTGGAGCCACTGGCAAAGGCTATAAGAACTGACCCTGAGGTCTTGATGCATGCTCAATCATCCAGGTATGTAAATCTCCAAAAGCTGATTCTGTTCATCTGGATGTAGCGTTTTTGTGGGAGAAACGTTTTGTCACTCATCCAAGTGACTTCTTCGGTCTCAGCTGACAGTCATTATGCAAATGTCCTGTTTATAAGATTGGGGAAACCTGCAGTCAGCTG